CTTAAAAAATAAGTAGAAAAAGTCGTTAACCAAATAAAGTCTTTGAAGAGAAAAATTCTGCTAACCAGTGCGTTTATCATTATAAATATTATATATATTTGTGTGTGTGTTTGTGTGTAAATACATGTAGTGCTCTTCAAATAATTAAATCCATTTTATGATCCTAGTTGTTAGTTAATACCTTTTTTTTTATCTTTTCAATATATTTTGAATCTCCCATGGTTTGTGGTCGAATAAGACTTTTATCCAGAGAGTGAGTCGAAAGTGAGTGGATAGGAAACACAACGACGAGCTAGATAAAAAAATCATACCCAACCACAAACAATTTGAGATTCATTAAATCTCATGTTTTATACACAGAGCCATCAATAATATTGAATTTTTTTTTTTTTTTTTTTTTTTTTTTTTTACATGAATCAACATTATTATTTTCATCGATTTCACGCAAAAACAACAGTGACATCACAAATGGTAATACGTAAACGATATCATTTGATCCATATCGTATGTATGTGTATATATATATATATATATATATATATATATATATATATATATATATATATATATATATATATATATATATATATATATATATATATATATATATATTTCTAAACCTGAAGTCAAAAAGTGGTAGATGATATACTGCTATATAGAAAAAAAATGTTACAAGTACTTAATAGAAAACGCCCAGACATTTTCAAAGCAAATCCAATTGATTGATTATATACTGAAACGCAAAAGAAACGCAACATCCTATTTTAGGGGGAAATATTATATATAGGATATAATTTTGTATCTAAAAAGTAAGGATATCTTCAACTTTGTAAATATCGGTAATTTAACGGTTGAATGATTTTCATACCATTACCGGAAGTTAAGTTTGAGTCCGCTTAACAGAAATCAAAAATTGCATGTTTAACAAAACATTTGGCAATAATATGGACTTTTAATGGTTTGTATCTGTTCATCATAAGTAATGCAGCAATATTCCGAAAAATAAATTATCCTTTCTTTTCCGTAAGCTATGCCAAGGCTTCCTGAAAATGACTTAAGTACGCATTTTTATTGCTCTAGCTGGAAAATCTCAAAATAAAGGTGATGGAGAGTTGCAGATCTAGATGCAAATATGCAATACATCACGCCTCAAGAGGCTCTTACGTATCATTAGCATAAATGACAGTCCTTGGACCGGAAGTCCAAGGGTTACTACACTGCGCTAGGCTAGAGGAAATTCTACCTCGTCATCTTAAAAACAGGCATTTAAAAATGGCAAAGAATGTTTCTTTCGCTCAGATCTCGAGACCGATGAACCTACTGCATCGTAGAAATCAAGCTGCAATTGTTGTGCATGGCAGTCTTGCACGCTGTTATTGAATGGCCGGGGTGGGGGTGTTTTAACAGTCATGAGTTACTTTCTAAAGTTAAAAGATAATCATTTAACATTTTTATCAAATCTCTGATGTTTTTAAATCGAGTTTAACATTACTGAATTCATGTTTGAAAATCATTAAATAAAAAATTCAAATATTTGTAGATCACTGCTTGTTGCGTTTCTTTTGCGTTTCAGTATATGTTGTTTAACGTCCCATTTGGGAAAAAAAGTTCACTCATATATATACAGAGGTCATCATATACCGGTAAAGAGCTCTAAGCACTCACTAGCTATGTTGACGTCTTGAGTTTGACGCAGCACCAGGAACGAGAATCGAACCCGGTATTTCCCGATCTCGAAGCGAACTTCCTACCACTAGGCTACCGCAAACCGGTCAAATCAAATAGATTGTTCCACAATACCTGGAGTAATGTATCAGAGGTTCATAGGAGCAAAAGGTACAATCTTGTTCAAGTTAACTAACTTGCCTTAGAATCATTTTAATTTGTTTCCGGTAATTGCTTTGTTTGTTTTAAATTAACCAGTTTGTGGTAATGAACCAATTTCTCATTTCGGGAGGCATGTTTTACATGTAATAGCAATGTTCGTGAGAATTGTAACTGTGTAGAAGAGGGCTCTCTTGAATTATTCGCGGAATATAATGTGAAAGTAAAATAAATAAAAGTGAATAATCAACGCTCTTTAAGTGCTCTTGAGTAAAAAATAAAATTTATAGGGATATTGTTAAGGTTGAATCTTGCACTGTACTTGAGGTATTTCACATAAACGAAGACCAGATTTTTTTAATGCTTATTAAGAAACAAACTAAATCAGAAATGTTCGCTTATATAATCACATTCACGTCTCTAGAACAGTGTCATTGTGCGCAAGAAATTCAAAACAATTGCCTCACTCTAGAATATGATACAGGGAATGAAATGAAAGATCCAGATAGGAACTAAATTGTGACGTATAACAAATATCAGTGTACGAGATATATTGCAGATATAAGTAAATAATGGCAAATCTAGAATTGCAACTTTTGATTTTTTTTTCCTCATTCAATGTTACAAATATATATACAACTGTATTGATAAAATGCTTACATAACAAGGCGCTAACTATTTGGGCATTTGATGTCAATGTGGTATGTCGAGAACATTAAATCGAACGTCAAATACAGCTCAAAACTGGCATGAGAAATCCATTTGTTTCAAAAGCTCGAAGTAATACAAATGTTTGTATCAAACTTGATAAATGTTTAAATATCCCTTCTTTAAAATTTAATTAAAACTCACATGAAGTACCGAACTTAGAAAGTGTCTTTACCTTGAATTTGAGCTATATATTCTCAAAAATGAAAAACCCACTTTGGCATTCGTTTTGAAACCACTAGTCAAAGAGTTTTAATAGAAATGTTATGTAAGTATAGACCTAGAGTACTAACGTACATAATGTATAATCATATTTATCAAACTTGCCCGTAAATGTAGAAAGCTAATTTCATTTTCAAGGAAACAAATTTGAAACGAGAATTTTTTTACCCCTGGAGAAGAAAAGGTAAAAAAAGGTTTATATTGGTAAAAATTTTTAAAGAGGAAGGGGAGATTTCCACGGTTTTCATTAAAAAAAACCTGTTTGATAAAATGTCTATTTCCTCAGGCTCTTGTCCCTGAGCAGGATTGGTTCATCTATATGCTACGTGACACCTGCTTTGTCGTTCATGCAACTTTTCAAGAATGTATTAATAAAATGTGTCCAACAAACAAACTGAAAGATTTAAGAGATAATTGTTTAAAGCATATGTTAAATATCAATGTACTTAGAAGCAAATACTTATGCGGAAAGGATGATGTGACATAACTGCTATCTGGGGCCCCTTTTTCTACGACGAATTATATTTAATCTACAACGATTTTGATAGTTTTCATACATGAGTGAATAAATACGACACTTTTGAATAGTTTCAATAGTTCCGACAAATTTTAATTATAAGGATTACTGCATTATCTGTGATTTTTTTTTTACCCTATGACAGCAAAATTCGGCCTGGTTCTTTTATGAAAAGAGAATAGGCGGGTCCTAGTACAATAGAGGGATATGCATGTTTGAGGAATCTACCTTATATGGCTATTGTTATTATTTCGCACATAGTCGCTTACCGAGAACAATTGTCCAATCCGATGACAGAACGACAAAACATGCTGGTTTACTACATGTTTACATTTGATCACAGGCACGTGGTTTAGGTCAATTTACACAGTATCTTTACTACATTTCAAACTTTTAATGATCAGCAAAGGCTATTTATACATGATAATACGCATGGAACCGCAGTGTTTACCGTTTAGGGTCAAGAAATGCACATGAAACTTCTATTCACTGATTCTCGGGAATACGTGTTGACCTAGCGAATTGCCCACCAAACGCTTTACAAAACTTTTAACTATGCATATTTATAAATCAATTGTTTGTAAATGTGAGCTGGGAAATTGTAAATCCGTGTCTAATCTTTGACTCAAATGCAAAAAAAAAATGTTTATCGGAAAGCAGGTACAAAAAACCCAATCTTTTTTCCAAGCATAAAATGTCCTTAGTATTTTTGTGGTACTCACTAGTTATGCAACTCATTTAGCTGATTGGTCAGTTAGAAAGTATCGCCAGTGCCTTGATTAGCATATGAATTTATTCTTACGTCAGAAAAAATAGTTTCGTCGATCTGTTCATAATGGGAAAGGCCAGCTAGATTTTAGAATTTTTTAAAAACAACATGTGAGCGCAGTTAGGTACATTTTTCTCCTTTCACATATAGGTAGATTTCAATAAAAGACAGTGACCAGCCAAAGGAGAAAAATGTACCTACTTGCGCTCGTATATTTGAAGGGCTTCAAAGAGTGGGGCGGGGCCAAAATTCAATGGGAATTGGATGTAAACATGGTACCCCTACTCAAAATAAAGACATACATCTTCCAAATTATGTTTCTATTTTCGGTAAAAGTAGTATTTTATGAGGGTATACATATCTGTGACTAAGTGCATGCAAAAATTAGACTAAAATTTAGATATTTAATTTTTTGTCAATTTACCGGGGGCCGTTTGTCACATCATCCTTTAGTGTGTAAATCATGCCAATAACACAGTGGTTTATATTTTGATACACAAAGTAAATCTTTTAATTCTACCCAATGCACTTTAATATAATGTTTTTGATTAAGAGTTCTTCTTTAAATGCATATCAGAACAAAAATTAGGAGGGGGTACAAAAGTCGAATTTCTTAAGTCGTTGCGTGTTGGACTTCTTACATTCATATTCGACAGAAAAGTTATTCCAATAATGTTAGAAGACTAGACCACATAAAACAAATTGTGGAGGGTGCAATCGGCCTTTAACAGCGAAAGAGTCGATCCCCTCAGAAGAAGAGTACATGTGTACATTCTTCAAACGTATCACAATGCTTATTAAATAAGACATTGAATCACTTTTCAATACAAGATAATAGAAAATGTTTCTTTATTTCGTTTTATTGTCTTTAAAGACGAAAATGAATTCATTAATCTAGAAAAATAAGAAAATTTTACCAATTGGTTGACACGAAATCCCCGTTACATGTATACACGGGTATTATTGTATGACTTCAACATAATCATTATGAAAGTTTTGCTCACTAGAAGGCAATGATTCTTCACTACTGGTACAGTTGACTACCTCCAGATACACGCTGGCTATGTGCAAAGACAATTGATCTGATTCTACGTTATTAAATGGTGACTCATTATCAACACAAATTGGATCGAGATAGACGGGATCTGGTGACGTATTTTCACTTGAATCATTTGTCACAATTTTCTGATTTTCCAGTCCTTTGTACCTGTCAACGGCAGTTAATTCAACTGTGCCGTATCTTTTGCTAGTAGTTCTTTTTCGAAAGCACTGTTTATAAAGATAAGTAGCAACAAAAACACCAAACAGCATCAGAAAAACGCCAACTAAGATAAAAATGCCGTACAAAATGAAGTCCACTTTTGTCTGATGCGCTTTTATTGTACTTATCATCTTGGTTGTTTGTGGTGTAAGTTCTTCAGTACTCACTGTGATATCAGATACAGGGGTTGTTCCAAAGTACCTTGTAGCTTAAAGAAATAAATGAAAAATATAGAAATTTTCGCTATGTAATCTGTAAATTACAAAAAGTCTTGTATCTTTACTTCTCTGTTCAAGGCATCCTCGTACAAAATCACAAAGACGTTCTCTACATTTGCATTCGCCTTGGCAATCTTCTCCAAAGCTTGGATATTTGCACTTTTCCGAGCAGTTTATATTATGGTAACCAATAGGACACTCTATATGTTAAGAAAGAAATTCCTTGAAGTAGGATTTGAAAAACAAGAAAATCGCTGAGGCAAAAATCCAATCATTAAATAAAACAAAATTGACTTACTTTCACATGTTGCATTTCCCTTGTTCCAAAAGTATCCTGCATAGCAAAGAGACACCTGACGACTAAAGAAATGTAAAACAAATCATGACAAATTATTTGAATATGATAAACTAAAAATTAATTTCAGAAAATGCAAATGAAATTGTGATAACTGTTTTACCTGTGATATGTGGAAAGGGCAAATTTACACACCATAAAAGAAAACGTAATCAAAATATGTTTTGTCATGGCAAACACATGTAGGCCTAAGTAATAAATGTGAAAAAAAATATCCAGAACCATTAAAATTGTAATGGTGATGAAGCAATGGTTAATCAATGTTTCCGCATGTGCAGCTCGAAAAGTTACTCTGAAATGTCTCTATTTCATTTTCAGGAAACGCAATATATGTTTGTATGCAAATAAGGAAATATATATGAAAATTTGTTAGCTATATCCTAGATTTAAATGAGACTTTAAGAATACAAATTGCATATTTTCCATTGAGAGAGAGAGAGAGATTTCAAATTTAAAATCATAAACATGCATTCTGTTAAAAATTACGGAAGTGTGTTACTGCCAGTTGAAAAATATTAATAACTTTTGCTATGTCATAATAAGTCGTAATTACGAGATAATAAATTGTACGTCCGACACGCACTAAGTCCCACGTATGACATGGCAAGTCGAAGTAACAAGACAATATGTTGTATAAAAGAGAAACTGAGTCGTACGTGCGACAAAACGAGATAATGTCAATAAGTCGAACATACGAACTAATGTGCGACATTCATTCATTCATTCACTTTGCAGTGATTAGTGATAAAATTTTGTCATTTCCGTAAAGTTTTAAAAAATATTTTCATAAATAATATGTCATTCTTTGTAAAAGGAAAGGAACTTTGTATTTTATTCCCAATTTACAAAACGAATTTTGTGAGAAATTACCGTTTGAGAACAAGTGCATAAACTGTATACAGCATTTGTATTGTTTGCATATATGATTTCTATTTATTTTTAACAAATTGAACACCCATGTATGATTTAATGCACAGAGTGAAAACTGATTAATTTAAATTTTCATAATGATAAACACCATGTACATTTCTTGTCCTTTAATTTCGTAAATATGACATTTTAGCCAAAGGATCAAGAAAGGTTTGGAGGTGAGTATTGGACTGTGTAAAGTGACTCCCTGTCTTAAGTGACCGGCCCTTTCTCCAAATCCCTTGAATGGTCACATAAGACTGTCTAGACTGTACTATGTACTAATAACGAGATACTAAGTAGTTATAACGAGATACTAATTCGTATGAACGAGATCATAAGTCTAAGTACGAAATACTCAGTTGTAATTACGAAAAAAGGAAGGCATATATAGACGAGATAATAAGTGGAAGTCACACGTTCGATACAGTAAATCATTACAACGACATTACAAGTCATAATTGAGATGAAAGGCGTAATAAAGAGATAACAAGTTGTAAAAATTATATACACTTAGTCTTACATTTGCGATTCTTAGTCGAACCACATTATAAGTCGTTATTAGTCCCCTACCGGTGAAACCGGAGGGGACTATAGGTTTCCTCTGAGTCTGTCCGTCCGTCTGTCCGTCTGTCTGTCTGTCTGTCTGTCTGCCTGCCTGTCCGTCTGTCTGTCTGTTTGTCCCTCTGTCTGTCTGTCTGTCAGTCTGTCCCACTTGGTTTTCCGCACTATTTTTCTAAACGCTTGCAGATATTGAGCTGATTTTTGGTATGTGAGTGTATCTTGATGAGTTACAGATCAAGTTTGCATTTCGTTCTGCTTTAATAATTTTTGACGAAATTACGGCCTTTTCAATTTTTCAAGGTTATCCGCAATTTTTCTCTAAACGCTTTCAGATATTGAGCTAATTTTTGGTATGTGACTTTACCTTGATTAGTTATAGATCAAGCTTGCATTTCATTTTGCTTCATTGATTTTTGACTGAATTATGGCATTTTGAATTCTTAACGGGAACCAGATTACAAATGCCGGTAGGGGACTAGTATTGCTAATGCAATACTCTCAGAATGCTTGTTACGAGATGATAAGCCGTACAAAGACATATATTAAGACGCTCGTACTACATATTTAGTCGTAATAACGACATTAACCTCACAGACACAAATACAAATGAGTAAACTTGAAATAACTAAATAGATTTTTCACGTGTGAAGTCTTTCATTTATATACATTTAATTACTCAAAATCTTTTTCGATGGTCAAAGAATTTCTGAAATTATATGTTTTTATTGATTTATTCATTAATATTATATAACTTTGTGAAATCCGGTAATCTGATTGGTCAATATGAAGTCATTATTTTTTGATAATGACCGCTGAAAGCGAATATTGACTCGCACGAGCTGTCTCGTTTTCACTTTCGCTTCGATCAAATATGGGGCCGAAAGATACGAAAGCTCGCAAGTGAAGTTTGCGAGTTGTAGTGAGGAAGATTTAAAAGATATAGTGAAGAACTCTGAGGCTGAGAATACGAAACGATTAACAAGGATATCTGTTAACATTTTTCGGGAATACTTACTTTCTAAACAAATCAGTGCAGAATTTGATTCAATTTGAAGGCCTAACGTGTGAACAACTTGATTGTCTGCTGCGGCGATTTTATGTTGAACTTCGGAATAACAAAGGGGAAATGTACAACCAAAAAAAAAAAAAAAAAAAAAAAAAAAAAAAAAAAAAAAAAAACACTCTCTTACCATATCGTCAGGATATACAGAGATTTCTGCAATCTATTCGACCAGACGTTGACATTATCAAGGGACCTCTATTCCGAGAGTAAAACAAGTTTTTTTAAAGGTAGGACTCCCGATTTTCAGATATATTATCAGCTTATATTAATTTCACGAATTATCTAGTCATTGAGCATACTCGTTTTGGTATTTGTTTATGAGATATATTTAGAGGATTGAAAATTTTATTTATTTTTTAACAAAAAATAGGGATGACAATGAAATTGAAGAGGCAGGGGCAGGCTACCATATAGTTAGAATAATAGACCACCACCCACCAATATCTGATGCTGACTTGATAAAAATGTGACTACCTTTCAAGCTCTGACTCGGCCCAGGTGTTGCAGCATATGTGATTTCAATTTTTAATATATATATATTTGTTATTCATGTTGTGATAGATTTACAATTATTGTTATTGTTAATTATTAATATGATTTCTGTTATACATTATGAGGACTGTTGCTCAATGAAAGGAAACTCTGGTTGTTAGTTTTGGAAGTAAAATTCAATAAATTCTGAAACATTTTCATTCAACTTATTTATGGTTAACAACAACAGCATATCACTATCTCTGTAAACATTAGGAGGATATACATTGAACTAATAAATTAGGGAAATTATATCATATAATAAATATGGACTCAATGCACGGTCAATATGCATTTATATTGACCCAGGATGACAGATATTGACCTCAGATACATGGAGAATATCGACCTCGGGCTAGCGCCCTCGGTCGATATACTCCGTGTATCTTCGGTCAATAGCTATCATCCTGGGTCATTATAAATGCATATTGACCTACATTGAGTCCATATTTGTATATTTTCTACCCCACATTAAAAAATATTATTGTTTTCATAATAAAATTTTTCACCTATAGTCCGTCTGTTTGTCTGTCTGTCTGGCTGTCCGTTTGTGAGTCTGTCCCTCTGTCTGTCAGTCAGTCTGTCCCACTTGGTTTTCCGCACTTCTTTTTTTCTAAACGTTTGCAGATATTGAGCTGATTTTTTGGTATGTGAGTGTATCTTGATGACTTACAGATCAAGTTTGCATTTCGTTCCGCTTCAATGATCTTTTCGGAATAACGACCTTTTCAATTTTTCAAGGTTTTCCGCACTTTTTTTTCTCTAAACGCTTGCAAATATTGAGCTGATTTTTGCTATTTGACTTTACCTTGATGAGTCATAGATCAAGTTTGCATTTCATTCCACTTCCTTGATTTTTGACGGAAGTATTACATTTTCAGTTTTTAACGGGAACCAGATTTCACTTGCCGGTAGGGGACTAGTATTGCTAATGCAATACTCTCAGAATGCTTGTTTTCTTTTATCTACAAAACAGCGTCATACCTCTGCTCGCCGACTGGAAAATTCGTCTCACGCCATGAATGCATGTGCTCATCTCGGATAAAGGGCAAAATTTAAAAGACAGTTGGTTTTAAAATTCACTCCCAATGTTTGAATGTTACCGTAAAAAAAGCAATTTTTTTTACGTTTTATTTTCCATAAAACATTACACTATCTTTTCGATGCAATCTTAGAAAAATATATTTAGCCAATCAAAATCCAGGAACATATTCGGCCAGAAATTAGAAGGCAATTCTCATGGTGTGAGATACCCTGTGTTATTATTATATGTGGGTTAAAATTTGTTTTAGAAACAAGTGCCTGTAATCCCCCCACCCCAAAATAAATTCTCTTTTCTTGCATTCTTGTTCATGCTAGGAATGTATGAATTATAAAAATTCTTAACATTTCGTAATAAGAAAATTCCTAACCCATGCCTAGCAACATATAACTGAAAGAGGAAAAATGTAAAATATTAGAAAAAAGTTAATATTAATTTTTTTCTTCCGGTACCAAAAAAAAAAAAAAAAAAAAAAAAAAATCAAACTGTGAAATATATGGAATGTCAAACGTTGCAATATTTGATCTTTTCCATTCGTATTCTATAATTTTCCATTTGGATTCTATAATTTTCCATTTGGAATTCTATAATTTTCCATTTGGATTGTATGAGATTTGTTTATATTCTATATTTTCCATTTGTATTGTAAATAATCATTTGTATTGTATAATTTTTTATTTGTATTCTGTATTTTTCATTTGCATTGTATAATTTCTTATTTGTAAGCGATAATTTCTTGTTTGTATGTGATAATTTTTCATGTGTATTGTATCCGAGGCATTGTTTATTTATTTCGTTACGAAGGATTTCATTGGCCAAGTTTTTGTGTGTAAAATGTTCAAAACTAGGGAGTTGTTTTGGGTGCACAACACAAACTGATGACGGGGGTGGGGGTGGGGTAATTTTGTCTAATCCGATATTTACATTCATTCTCTCGCAAAAGAGAATATTTATTTTCAATATGACCCGAGACAAGGAGAAAAAGAAAAAGGAAAATCTGCCCAAACCCGAAAATTCCGTTTTTTGGGGGTGTTGGTGGGGTAGGTACCACCAGTCAAGGTCAATTTTGTTTTTCACAGTGAACATTTCTAAGGACAGGTTATTTATTTGCCATCTGCCATCGCTCCCTTTTCAGAATCAAATGACCGTCCTCTAACATGCGCGCAAATACATATGAGCCCAGTTTACCTTGAGCACCCTTAACATCTCCCCAGTTTTCAACACAAGACAGGTTAAAACTTAACCAATGAAATCCTTCATAAGGAAACAAATAAACAATCCTCGGATACAATACAAATAAGAAATCATACAATGCAAATGGAAATTATAGAATACAAATAAAAAAAAAAATATACAACTCAAATGATTTTTTACAATACAAATGGAAAATATAGAATGCAAATAAAAAAATATACAATACAAATGAAACAAAATTTGCAATAAAAATAGAAAATTATAGAATACAAATAAAAATTATACGATACAAATAAAAATTGAACGAAATAACTGGAATATCATACAATGCAAATGGAAAAGATCGAATATTGCAACGTTTGACATGCCATAGAAATATATCTCAGACTTCTTTCTATTATAACTTATTATGTCGTATACGTCGTTATTAAGACATAATGTCGTTCGTATGACTAAGTATCTTCAACATACGACTTAACGTATAGCGGGTTATTTTAGCGGGGTGTTAATTTTGGCTTATTTTGGCATTTTGGTAGTTGTCCGCTAAAATTTTAATCGCTAAAATAGTCAGTGTTCTTCTTAGTGTTATATTGCAAAGTGTTGGAACCCTATGTCTGCGGAAAAAAATTACGCCAAAATTATTGGCATACCTTTAGCAAAGCAAAAAGTCAAATTTTACAATCGCCAAGGAAACCCGCTATATTGGTATTAGTCGTTTGTTCAACTTATTATGTCGTTGTACGACTTATTATCTCGTACTTTTTATCTCGTATTTACGACTTATTATCTCGTAATTTCGACTTAGTAACTCGTATTTTCAACTCAGTATCTCCTGCATACAACTAAGTTTCTCCTTCATACGACTTATTACATGTATTGTGCAGTATCTCATTATTACGACATATTATCTCGTTATTTCGACTTATTATGTCATATGTAAGACTTCATGTGTCGCAAAAATATTTTCGACTAAAAGCAATACGTTTCTGTACAAAATGATTCAAACTCTCACACTGAAAATAGACAAATCTTACTTTTGTTTGAAATATCATTTTAGGCAAGAAATATATATTGACATACGATGTACATTTAAATATCTCAAGCAATCATTTTACAGGACTTTGATCAAGCTAAGTTTAACGAACCGCTAAGGTAGGTTTAAACGATATGTACTTCAATGCGCTCCGCCGGATATGTTTTAAGAAATATACCAAGTAAGTATCTTTAATTGACATATATAATTTGCAGAGATTTTGTAACAAAACAATTTAAGATTTCAAAACTAGAAGGAGACCTTGTTATATATTCTGTATAATCAATAGTAAAGAAAAAGAAACAGATACAAAAGTTAAAATATTACAAAGTAAAAAATTACTTTCGTTTTATAATTCACCTTGTAAGGATATATACATATGGGGCATTATATAGGACATGTGGATTACATATATGGATACTGTAACCTGTTGAATTTCATACTTAATTACATTTGTAGATGTTGTAAAAGTCTGTTTTCAGATTATGATGTGCATCCCATTGTTACACACGTACAAAGGTAGTCATATGAAGAATCAGTGACTGTAAGGTAGATTGACTTTTGTATTTAAACATCTAGATTTCATCATGATCTATCATTACCTACTCCTGTATTTTATCGACGTTAATTTCATACATCCCTCCCAATTCATTGTCATGAAGGTATCCCTGATATC